GAGAGAGAGAGAGAGAGAGAGAGAGTAGTGGGAAGAGAAAAAAAAAGGATTTATCAATGAATAGTAGAGGGAAAAGATAGAGCTCATAGAAGAAATGCCAAAAGTAGAAAAACAAAAAGCTAAGTGGTAAGTCAACCTTTTCTTTAAAAAAGAAGAAGCTAAGTGGTGGATTAATGTAACCCGAGATTTGCCCCTTCTTTTGCCAAAGTGTCAGCTGTTCCATTGGCCTCGTGCCAAATATGAAAGAAGTCAACTAGAAGAGGCTTGCACAATTGAAATATGCGATAAAAAGTTTAGATAATCTCCAAGGACAAGGGGCCTTACTCATGGCCCAAAGGATCACATTTTTGGAATCTCCTTCCACCAAATATAATCTCCCCAAGATGGATCAAGTCTCTTCATTCCCTAAGAATGGCATTTGTTTCAGTCTGAGAAGAATCCCCCCGTCCAAGGTATCTCGAGAAACTAGATGGGGTGTTCCCCTGTGAGTTTCTAAAATAGCCCCATGTCCACAGTGACCTGGGTTATCAAGGGAGCACCCATCTAAGTTCATTTGGTGACACCCGGACTTGGGGGAATCCAAAAGGTAGATTGCGACCTTCTCAAATGTCTGAAAGTGAGAATGTTGACCCAATTGGATCTGAAGTATGTGGCTCATAGAGATTTGATGCCTTTGAAATTTCCAGTCCAAGAGATGGTGAGATCTATTGACTATCGACCTTCTCAAAGGTCTGAAAGTGAGAATGTTGACCGAATTGGATCTGAAGTATGTGGCTCATAGAGATTTGACGCCTTTGAAATTTCAAGTCCCAGAGATGGTGATATCTATTGGATAGTCAGCTGTGGCATTGGCCATCCTCTTGGTTGCCCAAGACTTTCTGGAGTTTCTTTCCTGCCAAATGACCCATAGAGTGGCAAGGAATACTGTTCTTCAGGAATTGCCTGGTAGGGGTTTGAATAGAGAGCTGTAAACAACTGTTCAATGGAGTCGAGGGTGACCAACAGTCAATTGAAATCTTGTAGAAACCTAGCGCTAATTTATGTAGACAACTGGCAGTGTAGAAAAAGGTGGCTATGGTTCTTCAACTTCTTTGGATAGATAACAGCGATTAGCAGTGACAGCTCTCCTCATCAATTGATCGATTGTTAGGTTTTGCTGAGAAATGGCTAACCACGTGCATGCTTGAATTTAGGAGGGGTGGGGGTCAATCAGGCCTTACTGTGGACAATAGTTGGAGGAAACAGGGCAAACGGCTTTCTAGATTTACACAACAGAAAATATGCCCTTGTGGGCTCTGGAGAAGATCGCTTTGCCATTACCATTATTAGAAATGAAAAAGTTGTGGAGGTATGCAAGTTCAAAAAATCAAGGACCTCTCATCATGCAAAGCTCTTCTAAGAGTTGCTTTGCATCAATTTGTTTCATGCGTTTAGTTCCAGGGAAACATCCTTTACTTCTAGGTGAATATCTTAAATGAAGAGAAAGAGAAACACTTTCATAATGCTTAAGAAACAGAGAAAGACCTTTGTGATGAATCAAATGTCCACTTTGTCTGATTAAGGAGGACATTGCATTCTGTGAGGTGGAACCGAACAATGGGTGGTTCATTGTTTGTTGTTCATGACCAATTGAGAAAGTGAAATATGGAATAGTTTATTCACCAAGGGTTTTTGGGAGTTGGGCAAGAGAGAAGAGCATTCAAAATCCTCTTCCATTTCCGCGGAGAATTTTGAAGTTCCTGAATGGTTGAATCCTTAGGGGCGTCAAGTTTTCTTCTCACAAGGCGATTTGCGGCAAAACAATTTTGTTGGTCTGGTTTGTATATGTTTAAAGATGAAGACCCGTATTCTCTTTTGCTCCTAAATAGAAGATGATTTATGTTGGTTGTTGCTTGCTAGAGGTGTGTATAGCTTAGAGTAGATTATAGGAAACTCAGACATTGGCATTCCTCCTCTATTCTGCATGTTTAGGGCGTTTTGCTGACTATCAGCTACGGGGCTATGCTTAATTTGTCTTGCTTCTGTTTGTATGGAGTGCACATTCTTTGTCTTCCAATTGTATCGAGGGGTTCTCTCCATGTTGGTTCTTGTTAGATTGTTCAACAGGAATGGGGCTTCTCATCAATTTTCCTTCTGTGTTTTTTTTTTTTAAAGAATATCTTCTCATCTAAAAAATAAAAAAAATTTGGCATGATCTGGGATTGCACAAAAAAATGGGGGTATTAAGGATATGCAGTATTTATAAAAAGGCAAAGAAAGTAAAATGTTGATCATCAGATATGAGGCTGTATGAGATGTCCAACTTTGCCAATATTGTGTAGGTGATGCTTTTCGGATCGTACTATGTTTTTCTTTTTTCTTTTTCGATTGATTTTGTTTTATAGTGATGGTTGCAGTCATTTATTGACATCTATAATCAGGGAAAAAAGCCTTTATTGCTGGAGTGGCTGATGATAATGGTTATGGTTGGGCAATAGCAAAATGCCTAGCTGCTGCTGGTGCTGAGATCATTATTGGCACCTGGGTACCGGTATGTCAGCCTAAGCATGACTCCGGCTTATGGGAAACTCCTCTCAATGTTTGTTTCTTGATTCGCCTTCTCTTTTTTTCACTTTTTATGAAAGTTGATTGCTTATCTCTTTTCTTGTGCAGGTAATGAAAATCTTTGAAACTAGCTTTAAACGAGGGAAGTTTGATGAATCACGTGTGTAAGAACTCTACTCTGAATTAGTTCGCCCAGGATAGACTTGGTTGAGAAAAGTTCTTATTCTTATTTCCTGTATAAAGCTGAGTTGGAATGCCATGGTTTAGGAAATCCAATAGTTGACTGGTTTGATATTACAGGTTACCGAATGGTTCTCTGATGGAGATAACCAAGGTCTATCCATTAGATGCAGCCTTTGACAATCTTGAGGATGTTCCTGAAGATGTAATATTCAACTACCTTGGTTCTTATGTTAACATAGGGGAAACATACTGTAATCCTGAGGACTATGAATGCCATTGTCCATTAGGACCATCACCATCCAATGGACTGATAGTTGGTGGCGGGAAGGAGCGGGTGCCCACTGGAAAGTGACATGAAGCCCATGGTGGTTATAACTCACTCCATCACTGTCCATCATTTCATTGGATGGTGATGACCCTAACTGTCGGGCTCTTTTATTTCTTTGCTTTGCTGACTATATATCGTCATCTATGTGCTTCTTCCATAGCTACCTGATGCACACCCTTATTCCATATATGTAATTTTTCAAAAGTTAAAATTAACTCAAGTGGTGAAGGTTTCCATTGTCCATTTGATCATGTACTTCTATGTACCTTGTGCCCTGAATGAATGATGGTTTTTAGTTTGACTTGCGGATAAAAAGACTATTTAGCTAATCTCATTTAAGCTGCATGTCGCTGTTTTGTTCTTGCAGGTAAAATCAAACAAAAGATATGCTGGATTCTCAAACTGGACTGTTCAGGTAATTTTTGTGCCTCTTTTAATATTATTTTGGCAAACTTGAGTGCTGTTCATGTTTTGTGATACTTGTGGCTTCCTGTGCTCATAACTTTGCAAACACTTCAAGAAATGTTGATATAAGACGTAAGAACTTCCCCATTTGAGTGGAAATTATCATAATTTTGGCATTTATCTGATTGTTACCACCACCAATGGCAAATCATACTTTACCAAATTGGTGGGTCAAACTAATCAATGTTGTTAAAGTTTTCTCCTATTTGTTTGCTTATCGTATCAACTCTTCTCTTAAGGACATTAAATATTTTCAATATTCATACCTTCGGGTTTTGACAATTATGACTTTCGACACATTTGAAGGAAGTAGCTGAACTCGTTAAACAAGATTTTGGGAGTATTGATATCCTTGTCCATTCACTTGCCAATGGACCAGAGGTATAGTATCTCTGTAACTGTTCCTGCTGTCTGATATTTCAATTCATTTGCTCCTTGGTTTACAAAGCAGTTGCCATGAATAGGTTAGCAAACCACTGTTGGAGACATCGAGGAAAGGATATCTAGCAGCCCTTTCTGCTTCAAGCTACTCCTTTGTTTCTCTGCTGAAATACTTTTTGCCCATCATAAAGCCAGGCAAGTGCCCATCTGTATCCTCACTGATTAACTGCCATTTTTTTTTATGGAATGCACACAAGTTCTCATTTTTTCTTATTTATTTATTTTTTCTTTTATGTGAATTGGCACAATCATAGTTTTAAGATCTCAAAATTTGAGGCTTCCAACTTCCATGTCTGCCGTTGGTTAAGATAAGTGATGTAACAGAGATGAAGAGAGTGAGAGAGTCGTCAAAGCTAATTGGTTTGAGGGAGGGAGGATCGTCAAAGCCAATTGGTTTGGGGATCAGCGTCTTGGTTTGGTGGCAGGGGCAAAGGGGCTGTTTCACTAGCATCAACGTTCTATTCTAGCATACCCACTTTAATGAAAACACGTTCAGTCACTGGAATCTGACTTGTTTCTTGTGGGTTGGTGGGCTTGGAGTTAAACCTTGTACTAAGCCCAATCTGTAAGACCCATAAAATTCATGCTTAATAGGATATTCAGAACAGAGTAAATAATGTTTCCCTTTTTACTGCAAGAGAGCTCTACTAATCAAAATTAAATTATGGTGCAGGCGGTTCTTCTATATCCCTCACTTACATTGCTTCTGAAAGAATCATTCCTGGGTATGCTTGCTGTTCTCTTCCTAAGTTTTGCACTATATAGTAAAAGTTTACCATCCTTTTTGTTTTAATAATTAAAATTCTCATTTTTTGAACCTTTATAACTTTTCTAACATGTTTGTCTGGTATGCAATTGATGAGCAGATACGGTGGGGGTATGAGTTCTGCAAAAGCCGCGCTTGAGAGTGATACAAGAGTAAGTTCTTTAGTTCATTCTTGGTTTAGAAATATATAAAGGAGACAAGGTTGAAAGTTTAGAAAGGAGAGAACGAAAATGGATTGGAGGTTTTGAGTTCCTAATTCAGCAAGTAGAACAAAGTAACGGATTTAAAATTTGGAAATGTTAAATCCATAATTGGCCTATTTGTCCAAGATTTTTTTATAATGACCGATGGTGGGAATCATTTCTGCTGAAATTTGACAAAATAAGAAAAGAACAAAAATTAAAGACTTCTGTTGACTCGGCTAATGCTATGCAGGTACTTGCATTTGAAGCTGGAAGGCGCCGCAACATTAGAGTAAACACAATTTCTGCAGGTACACCCTATTGCTACCACCCCATTTATGGTCACTATTTGTATAAAAAAACAAAATAAAAACAAGTAAAAAAATGAGATGAGGGCAGCTTAATTGTAAAGATTATGGGTTGTTTGTATCCTAGCCCCTAGGGTATGCAAAATCATGTTTTGTATACCGAGGATATTTTGCACAAAAACATGTTTGGCAATTTTTTTGGACGCATAATCATGTTGTGTAAGCAAAAAAGAGGGAAAAATATGGGTACACAGTAAAAAAACGTTGGCTTATCCAAAACCTGACTTTGTGTATGCACAAAAGAATTTATAATATATAATTCAATTGATGATTATACAATAATATTATTAATCTGAAAATACTTTATGATACAAGAATAATAAATATTAATATTATTATAATATAATAATACTAGTAATATAATATTATTAATAAAAATTATTAATGATAGTATTATAAAATAACAGTGGCATATATTAATTATGTGTATCACAATAATATAATAATATATAATAGTATTTTATTATATGTTATAATAGGTCATTATCATCGTCATCTGAGTCTTATCACAATTAATTGGAGTCGGCTACATGAATCTTGTTCTTCCATTTTTCTTTATCAAGGGCAATACCTTTTAATAAGATCAAAAGTCCCCAAATCGATCATCTCAACTTCAAGATGTATGGACATGAGACAAAATAGATTTCAAGTCTTGAAAATAATGCGTCTTGTAATGCATTTCTGGAACGTCATTTTTCAAGCTTTTCAAGCGTTAATAGATCTACTTGATCTACATTATTATTGGAGATGAAAATAAGTTTCCATGCTATCACAAAAATCTCCAATAGTAAAACATCTTCTGACACGATTTGAAGTTTGCCTTACGTTGATTTAATGAGCGAAAATTCGGCCGCCTAGGTGGCCTGTCCTACACACTGCCTAGGCGGTGTGGTCTGGGTGGGCATGCCTAAAGAAGGCGCCTCAGCAGTTTGAACGTCCACCTAGTGTGATCCCTTCAAAAAACTTGAATTTTTTTTTAAAAAATTCAAATCCACCCAAACAAAAATAAGGCTTGATATTGTCATTCTTTCTCTCTCTCTCTCGGGTTCATGTGCTTTCTCTGCATATGAGAAGAAGAAGAAGAAGATAGACTCCAACTCTTTGATGTGCGACCTCTCTCTCTCTCTCTTCCTCTTTACATGTAAGAAGAAGTAAAAGAAAAAGATGACTTCCAAGTATTCGATGCAAGGGCCTTCTCTCATTCTCTTTCTCTCTCTCTCTCCATATCCTTCAAGTGTTCAAGACCTCTCTCT